TGTATGTGATCATTATATATGCCTAAAATGTACCAATAAACTTAATTAATTAAAAAAATTGTGGATTGAATTCCTGGGCCTGTCAATAAAAAAATGTTAAAATAAAAAAAAAAAAAAGCCACAACAAAAAATAGATGCCAAAATGATGTAAAAGTAAATAGAAATCATTTTGGTGAAGGTGGCAGTATAGTAAAGCATTTCTGGCTCAACAACACTACCCAGTAGGACTTCTGTTGACCTTGAGGGTCTCCCCTGTGCCCAGAAACCCATAGTGAAGATTGTGATGGACACAGCACAGTTTCTAAGACTTTGCCTTGCCTCCGCGCGCAGATCGGATAGGAAACCTACCTTGGACGTGGACAGAGCCTTGGACCAGAAGCCCCGTGGCCCACAGGGTGGCAAGAAGCAGCACCAGGCTGAAGCACTTGGTCATGGCCCAAAGTCCCGAGAGCCAAGGGGGCACTGCAGATGCTCACAAGCAGTAAGGCAGGAGGATGCTTAATCACCAGGCTGGATGGAGAGTTCTGGAAATAGGTGGAAGCTCCCGCTGCTCTACTTCATAACAGAGACATCCGGATTTCCCTGCTTTCAAGCTGTGACTTGTCAAGGTCACTGGGGAAAAGGAGTGACGTCCCTTGACTGCCCAGGCTGTACTTTGTGGATGGCTTTCTGGAAAATTTAGCTAATGCTGACTCAGAAAACACACGAGTGAGGAAGGCAGATAGCAGGGCGAGCTGCCGCAAGTGTTCTCAGTTCCCATATTCCCCGGCCCTGGCCTGCTCCAGGGGCTCAGTTCTCCCAGGTGCTTTGCTACTGCTTATGGGGCCCATTCATTCACTTATTCCTACAAATGTCTGGCTCTGAGAGCAACTGAGCACAGCTTGGGCTTCTTTCCCCTCAACAATCGTTGAGTTTCCCCCTTAGTTGCATTTACTTATAATACACAGGGAAGTGATTTTGAGGCTCATAAAAGAAATGCCCACTTAAATCCCATGCCTGCCTTTGGGACTTTTATGGTTTTTTTTTTTTTTTTTTTTTTTTTTTTTTTTTTAAGACATTGGCTATCTGAGCACCTTATTAAAGAAGCCAGGTGCATATCAGAGATGATATTTACAAAAACAAGGCTACAGTTACAAGATTAGTCATCTTAACTTTGCAAAAGGATTTCTTACTTTACCACAGGAGTCACTGCAGGAGTTCCTCTTACAACTTTTTCTCGAGTAACTGCTCTTATATGTCCATGTACTTGAGTAGTGTAGACTCCACTCTTCTTACCTAAAGGCTGTGCAGAATCAGAGCGTGTGCTCTTGTCCGGGCAGGGTTTTCAGGGCTTTGTCCTTGCTAGCCGTGCCTCCAGCAGGGTGTTATGAACTCTCTGCAAAATGAGTATCTTCGATAGGAATAGTATATAGATAACTAGTTTTTTCCTGTAGAAGTGGTATTCGTCATAAAGTTAGATATATCTGTGCAGAAAATAGAAATAGCAAAAAACAAATCTCTTCTGCACAAACACAGGAAACGTCTAGGATATCAGGAAGAGTTCCTCAGTATCTCCCGACAGCCTCACTACTGTTTAGAGCCACAGGCTCCCAGTACCTCAGAAAACATGTGCAATCCAGTCCTCATTGTACTGGGTAGGTAGCTGGAATCATGCCCTCTTATTAACTGTCTTAATGCCTAACTGGCACCATGTCTGAAAGAAAGCTAGTTTTCCAAAAGTTGTTACTATGAAAAGAAAGGAGGGAGAAAGAAAGAGGGAAAGATTGAATCATGGACAACAAGGCAGACACAGCTTATGGGAAATGAGAAGATGCTGATTTTGGAAACAAACGGCAAGGAGGGGGTTATTAGAAAAAGGAAATGTGGGTGATTGCGCTGGTGCGCCTGGAAGCGGAATGTTTTGTTTTTGATATCTTAATTGAGAGAAGTCACGTTGCCTTTGGTTGGAGATTCCTGATTGGAACCGGCTGCATCTCTTGGTAAGCGAGAGTACCCTCGCAGGAGAAGCTGGGTGGCCTCGGTGGCGAGCCTACGGTGCACGCGCACTGCGGGGCTGTTTGCACCGCTGAGCTCTGAAAGGCTGCCGCTGTAGGTTCTAGTGCGTGGTGGATTTCAGGAGAATTTGATGGAGAGCCGAGAAAAAACGCTATCGAACACCCTCTCCTCGCCACTCGGAGGAAGAATGTTCAGGCTATGAACAAAGAAGGCACATTTTTGTCCATTTCTCCATAACTGCTCACGCTATCCTCAAGGACAACCAATAATTTAGAAGGAAACTTGTACAGTTAGAAATTTGTGAAATTAAATGAAAATGAGGAAAACAGCAATCAAATTTCAAAGGAGAGCAGGAAGTGTGCAATATTCAAGCCAGTTTTGCTATAACCTGGGTATCAAAAACAAGAATAAAATTCCTAATTGTGCCATGCCAGCCCCACCCGCGGATTGAGCTGAGACAGGATTGAGACTGGGCGTGGTGACACGCGCCTGTAATCCCAGCGTTTGGGAGGCTGAAAACAGGAGCAGCACTATGAGTCTGATCCGTGTAGTGAGACCCTGTAGACTCTGTATTAAATACATTAAAATAAAAGTCCATAGGTCACCCGACCACCAAGTGTCACACAGTTCAACCTATATCAAAGACTGGGCTTACCTCAGGGGTCATGGATTGTTGAGCTTCATCAATGTACTACCCGTTTAATCTGATGTATACAAATTCAAATAGATGTGCATTACAGCTTGTAGCTAGACGATCCCTTAAAGGAGCTGCTGGCTGCTTTCTGCCTGCCACACCCACGGGCGGTTTCTTCTCTGTGATTCCTCTCAGCCAAGCGGCCCGCCCTTGGAATGAGCCAACTACAGACTGCAACCTATGCAAATTGTGAGCCAAAATAAACCTGTCTTCCTTTGACTTTGAGTGTCGGGTATTTTGTCTCAGCAGTGAGAAAAGTAGCTAAGACAACATAGTAGACATTTTGAAATGCAGCATGAAGCAGGAAATAAGGTACAACACAGAGTCCTGGAATGAGGGTAGTAGCTAAATTTTAGTTCAACTTCTAGTAATTTGTGTGACCTTGAGCAAGTAATTTAACTTTTCTGGGTCTCAGCTTTGCCATCTGTTGAAGAAGTTAACTGAATTAAATGAACTTAAAAATAACAGAGTCATATCATTTTATGGTACCTGATATTACAAGGATTATTTTTTAGAAGTATGTATAGGTGAGAAAATGTGTAGTCTAGCTGCCGTAACAAATGACCCCGCATCTCAATGGTTTAATAAATTAAACGTTTATTTATGTCACAGCCAGGCTGGCAGGTGCTGGTGGTGCTGGTGGTAATAGTGGGGTATACACTTGAATGGGAGATCTGATTGCCACGGTTGATTCAGGAACAGAGACTCGTTCTGTCTCCATGTTATTCCTCTGTCTCCCCTCATGCCTCTGATTCTCCGCAAGATCTTCGCCTTCAGCCAGGCCCCAAAGAAAGAGTGAAGAAGAGTGAAGAGGAGGCTGAAGCTGGAGATGGTTTTAGGGGCCCGACCTGGGTGACTCCATTTGCATCAAAAGCCCATCGGCCAGACCTTTGTCATGTGGTTCTACCCAACTGCAAAGGAATCATAATCTAGTTATGTGCCCTGAGTAAAAGGCAAAATAATTTGGTGACACAGCGTGACAGTTTACCCTGATCACCCACTGTTGGGATGACTGTTCCTCCCACAGGTAGAATGTGGTACAGTGGTACCTCAATTCTCCATGGAGAGCTACCATTCACTGTATTTTTTTCTTTTTTTTTTTTTTTAATGTATTTAGTACAGGGTCTACAGAGTCTCACTACACAGATTGGACTCGTAGTGATCCTCCCATTTTCAGCCTCCCAAGCCCTGGGATTACAGGTGCGCACCACCACGTGCAGTCTCAGTCACCATCACAGTGAGCCCGGGGGCGGGGGGCAGAGGTGGCACAGCACTCCGGGGATTGAACCCCAGTCCCTGCGCCTGCCTAAGCAGGTGCTTTAGTCTGCTGAGCTATCTAGCTGGCCCAACTTCTACTGTATTTTCAAGGGAAGCAGTTGAAGGTTCTGTCCAGCTCAAACCCATAATCTCCAGGTTCGGATCAGTCTTCTCTGTCAGGTTTGGTTGTGGCACGTTATGATCTAGTGACCCATGAACTAAAAAAATATACAAATGTGTGCACATACACACACACAAGCACGCACACACACACACACACACACAGTGGTAAAGCAGAACCTTAATAGCCTCAATAAAATTTCCCATGTGTAAAAGGGAAGACCAGAAATGACAGCAACCATCAGGCCACAGTAGTTCTGGAAACACAATGAAGAGACACTGCTATGGACTAGCTGTCCCTCAAGGGTCTATTGTGATTAACGGCTTGATCTCCAGGCTGGCATTGTGTTGGAAGATAGTAGAACCTTTGAGGGCCAGGGCCTGGTGTGATGTCCATAGGTCATTGGGGGTGTAAGCTACTTCCTGTGTGACACCTTTAGTAGTTGTCACAAAGGGATTGTTATACAAGGAATAAGTCTGATCCATCTTCTTTTTCTGCTTCTGCTTTTCTTAACATTTCTTTGTTTGTTTGTTTGTTTGTTTGTTTGGTACAGGGTCTCGTTATGCAGCTGAGACTCATAGTGATCCTACTGTCTCAGCCTCCCCAGTGCTGCGATTACAGGGGTGCACCACCACACCTTGTTTCAGTGGCCAGCAGGGTTCACCTGGGATTCTGGGGTTGGCACAGCATGCAGTATTGGAGATTGAACCTGGGTCCTTGCACTTGCCAGGCAGGCGCTTAGACTGCTGAGCTATCTCCCCAGCCCTCTCTCTGCTTCCTCACTTAACAAGTGACCTCTTGCTTCAGCACAAACTCTAGCTATTACCACTCATCATGAAGTCCTCACCAGAGCTGACCTGGTGCATTCACCAAAAAGGACTCACGTGACTATATTCATCAACACTGTTGATGCTAGCCCATATGGATAACCTCCTTATCTTAATATCATCTGTGCTATGTGATGTAAAATAATGTAGGAGTCACATCTCATATTCAAAGGCTCCATGGGTTGGGTGGCACTTTAGAAATGCTACCTGGCAGAGTCACCTGTCCTTGATTAGATCCTGATTCTGTTTCTGGGAGAAACTCCCATGCCCACTGTTATCTGTGGCCCTTGCCTTCCCTCTTGGAGGTCTTTCATTATGTATAATCTTCCTTGGACACATGCAAAGCCTGTACTCAGGAGTATGCCCTCCTCAGAGAAAGCACGACTTCTATAGTCTACTTCCTGCTGGTGTAAGTAGAGAATCCCAAAAATTGTTTTCTAATTTGAGCAACAATGGAAGGAGTTCTAAATCTTGCCTTGTATTGCTTTGCAAATGTGGTTCTCTTATAAACTTAGTGTTCTTATCTATGGGCTTCATATTGTAAATCTTCTCCCAGTCATTATTCTATATATGGCTTTTGTTGCTTTCCCTGCCCTATGCCTGTCCCATCCTCTCTCTCTCTCTCTCTCTCTCTCTCTCTCTCTCTCTCTCTCTCTCTGTCTCTCTCTCAATGGTAACCATACAAAATCCGTTTGGAACCACAAATGGATCGGTCACCTTCTAAATCTATTCTTTGCCATAAGGCCAAGTTGATTGCTTCAAATAAGAAATGTTATCAGTTCTTCTTTTTATCAAAGCTCTTATTAGTCTGTTTGGGATTTATAAGGAGTCTTATTATTTAATCCTTCAAAATTCTGAATTCTCTGTATTATGTTTCATTTTTCTTCTAAATAGCCAATTCTTTCCTAAGTGTTTTTTTCTCTTATAATATCGTGAGTAAGCTTGTAGCTCAGCTCCACAGAATGAAGAGGCATTTGGCTGCTGCTCAAGGTTGTGAAATATGCTTTTCTTTTCTTTTTTAATGTATTTGGTATAGGGTCTCACTGTGCAGCTCAGACTCTTAGTGGTCCTCCTGTTTCTAGCCTCCTCAGCACTGGGATTATAGACATGCGCCACCATGCCCAGACTTGGTCACAGGTCCCCAAAAGCAGGGCCAGCACAGCATGTGGTACTGGGAATCGAACCCCAGTCCCTGTGCTTGCCTAAGTGGGCGTTTAGCCCCTTGAGCTATTTCGCCAGCCCTATTTTCAAACTCAGGTAGGCAACAGTCTGTGTGAATGCTGGCACACCTTGTGAGGCTTCACAGCATCAGGAAGTGACAACCAATGCCGTGCAAAAGCAGCATCTCCTGCCCATTCACTCTGTCACACCACACAAGAAGCAGCACATACGGGCCCCCAACAGAGGTCCACATGCTCCAATACTTCATTCCCTCCAACCACTCTTCAGTGATGGGCTACCCATGGGTTGCCTTGCAAATTATTGTGGGCAAACTTTATCAAAGGTGTTTGTTTTATTCACTACATAGCCACCATCTTTCCATCCCTTGATACTAAATTGCTTTCTGATACTGCTCTGTTAAGCTGCTATTTAGCCAGCCAGCCTTCCCACTGCTGGTACGCAATACCTAAGATCCATTACTTAAAGTAGGGGAGGTTTAATTTGGCTTATAGTTTTAGGGGATTCAGTTGGTGGTTTCAGATTGCCTCTGAGGCAGAAATGTCATGGCCGAAGGGTGTAGGGGGCAGAGGTGCTTCATTCGTGGTGCCCAGGAAACAGAACAGGAGGACAGGGCCAGAGACAAAGGGACCAGAGTCCATACCCAGTACCCAGTGACGTACCTCCATGGCCTTCCCAGACACAAACAAGTTTCTTTCACCAAGCTCCTGGGTGACTCCCAAACCAATCAGGTTGACACCCATCCCAGCCACTTCCTCCTCTTTGGGGATTTTATATTAAAACACATTTGGGTTCAAAGATATACATTAGCCAAGGCCGATTAGCTGGCATCACAAAGAGTGTGGAATCGCAGCCACTGAACACGCTTGTAGTTTACTTCTTGCTCATGTCGTAGTTTGATGTGGTGAGCACTCACCCCAACCCCTGCTTGTCCTGTGATTCTACCATCTCATCAAGTTTCACAGACCTCAACAGAATCCTCCTATTCTGGTAGACAGAGCAGGGAAGAAAGAGGATGTGGAGCAGAGGATAGGACATTTTATTTTAGGGAACTTGATCATCAAGGTCCACATTCCCCAGTACCTAGCTGCAAGAAAGACCAAAAATACAAGCAGGCTGTGAAAATAGGATTGTTTAAAATATATCAGTCCTTATCTACTTTATCATAGCAAAATATGTTTTAACAAAATCATAGATCAGGAAGGCACAGGAAACGAGGAGCAGGAATAGGCAAGGAATGAAGGACCGGACATATCCAGCCCACTGTTGATAGCCCGTAGTACAGTGACCCCATGGCTGGGGACCTCTGCTCGGTTCTGGGAGGTTGTGACTCAAGGTTGATGTGACAGTAGAGCTCAGTACCACAGAATGAAGAGGCATTGGGCTGCTGCTCAAGGTTTGGAAATGTGCTTTTATTTTCAAACTCAGGTATGTGACACACTACAGTTGATGCTAACACACCCGTGTGCGGCTTCACAACATTAGGAACTGACAGCCAGTGATGTGCAAACCCAGCGTCCTATTCTCCACTTGCTCTGTCAGGCTGTACACGAGGAGCAATACATATGGCTTTCTTGTGGCCAGAAAGTGAAGGCCCTTTCAGGAAGTAAGGTCAACCATGGAGCAAACAACACACAGTGTCTCTCTGCAATTGCAGGTAGGCAGGCGGTCTTCTTTGGCTAAGCAGAAATGTTAGATCTCACAGGCAATTTGAGGGGAACTTTATTTCAGATTGATGTCACATTGGAAGTACAGGGCCCATTCCCATTTTACAATTGCTTTGGCAGCCAGTGTAGCTGCATCAGGTTGATTTTTGCTTTTAGCCCTTGTAAACATGGCTACTCTTATGCTGCCTCTCAGAGAGGTCCTTTTCCTTGACTTCTCTTGTTTAAATAGAGCATTGTGGAAAAGGCCTCTGCCTGGAGTTCTCTCAGGTCTTGCTATGAGGTTACTGGAAATACAGTAGCTCTCTGTACCTGCTCTTGCTTTATACTTGGAAACAGGGCTGGGAAATCTATGGCCAAGTGGACAAGGGGCCAGCTCGCCTAGCTATTCTTTCAGAGAGGTTGAGACTGGCCATTTGGACAGTCTACCTCATGGTCACTCTTTCTGGATCTCCACGCATATCCTGTCTTGGTGTCTGGGCGGGGTGGGGGGCTCATGAAGCTAAAGCTCCTCCAGTTGTACACACCCCCTGGAAGAGGCTAGGTAAATCATCTACTCAAGTCTCCAAAGTCTCTCTGCCTTGATCTGCAACTCTGGACCTTAATGGCACATCCTGGGTCAACCCCGGCATTTCACTCAGCTGTCTTCCAGCCGCTGGTAATGATGCCCCTCCAGTAAAAACGTGCTTTTAAAGTGGGATCTACTCTATGGGGGGGCTCCCTGAAGGAAGTGATTTGCTTTGAGCCCCATCTTTGAGCAGGATCTACTCTACAGCAGGCTCCCTGAAGGAAGTGATTGCATTGAGCTCCATCTTTGAGCTTGGAAATGGTGTTGCTGTTAGCCTCAGCTCAATCTTGTTCTCTCAGAGTAGACTGAGAAATACTAGAGCAAGCTTAGATCAAGAAAAATGTCTTTTCTCATGGAGATGGGAGTGAGGAGGATGGTGCCAATATTGGGAAAATCATAAAATATCAGCTGTTCCAGGGTGGTCTCCACTACCTGGAATGCTTGATTGTTCTTCTGACCAACATTTAATGACACCCTCCCAAGCATCAGCCACCATGTTAGGCACCTACCCAAGAGATGCATAAGACATGGCTCTTGTCTTTGAGGAAAAATGCTGAGAGAGACAGTTACATAAATAAGTTAGTGGTGATAGATTATAAATCCAAGTCAATGCCAAAAAATACTTGACAAGTCCCAGAAAGCACAGAGGAGGGTGGGGCCCGTTCTGTGTGGAGTGTGGAGGGATCTTGTGGAAGTCTGATGGAAGGATAACCTTTATACTTGGTCCTCAAGAGTGAGGAAAATCTAGGAGTAAAGGTACAGAGTCGAGAGGAAAGAGTTTAGTTTGGGAACCAGAGGTGGCTTGCAAGGCTGAGGGGCCAGCGGGTAGAAGGAGAATGGAATGGGAGGAACCCAGCTAGGAGATCTAGGAAGGAGCCCCATTCAGTGCAGGCTGCAAAGTGCAGCCCCAGCAGCCAGCTGCGCCATTTCCTAGCCTTGTGTTCTCATATCTTTGCGTGTGTGTGTGTGTGTGTGTGTGTGTGTGTGTTTCAACATCCTTATCTGAAACTGGGACAAGAAATATCTACTGCAGAGGATTTTTCTTCAGGTTGAAGTGAATTACTACCTACAGAATACTGAGAATAGTGCTTGGATCAGAATAAGTTCAGTGTAAGTGTTAGCAGCAGAAGCAAACGAATAAAAAAAAAAAAAAAAAAAGCAATCGCAACAGAACCCATTCAGAAACCAACAGCCCGTGCCCGGAAACTGATGAGAGCTGAATGAAGACAGTGGCTGAAAAGGTAGGGGAAGATATTAAATAAGCTGGAGATGGGACGAGCTTCTTCAAAGCTGAATGGCTGGGAAGCGTCCTGAAGCGCACCCTTGCGTGGGGAAGCCCTGAGGTACAGCTGCCCGCGCAGGTGAACACTATGTAGAATAAGAGGCTGAGCCCAATGTGCACCATTGCAGAAGCGGGACAGCTGCATCCACGGGGAGAGGACAAATAGGAAAGAGCTCTTCTGTACAGCAGTTTAGACCTGGCATTTGACATGGAGACTGCAAGAGGGCCACTGCAGTCCTAGGGTTTCTGTGCTTTCCAAACATCTTCAGCCCATGGAGAGAGCTCACAGACAGTGCCTGCTGACTGCCCCACACTTAGTGAAAACCTCTGAGCAGGTCTGACACACCTCTTGCTTCCCCACAGCACACACCCAGAGCACACATGTGGAGGGTTGATGGCTTGTCGTGCGCATGTGTGTTGCATTGTCTGTCTTGTCTGCATGTGTCCAGATTTATATATATTAATTCACGTTTTCCCATTTCATTTCAAGCACTAAGCTATACATCTTTCTGAGGAAACTTTCCTGCTCTTTCTTGGGAAAAGAAACTGATTCCCAAAGGAGGAAGGGGAAGCTGAAGGACAGTCGTGGAGACTGAGATGGGAGGTGGGAAGACAGACACGTTGGGACTCCTCATTCCAGGCGTGATCCTTAGGGTCAGTTCTAGCTGTTACACACAATCCTTCCTGATAAGCAAATGCAGAAAGAAAAGCGGGGAGAGCAAGCTTCTTACCATCCTCCTCAAGGAAGGTGTTTCAGTCCTCGCCGGCCATCTGAGCTAGGAACAAGAGACCATGCCCTTGGCTGAGCTCTTGGCGCAGGACACTTCTTTGTCCATGGGAGGTTTCCCAGAGCAGTTTTGTTGGTCTTCCCAGAACATCGTGCTACTGTGTATGAACAGCTCCTCAGAGGTGCCAATCACGAAAGGAAGCCCTCCCTGTTCCCTGATGGGGCAGCACCACTGTGTTCACCTGGGCCTGACAATTCATCACACTTGGGGACTGAATGCTCTGAGCATGGCATTGACTAGGAATCAATTCCTACTGTTCTGTAGGCTGCTCATGTTGGAGTCCTGAGCTCCACCAGGAGTCCCTCTGGGTGACCGAGCAAGTGGACCTTCCGAGGGGCCCATCGGCCTGCTCCACACAAGAATTATAGGAGCTGTAGAGCCCCAGCATGATGGTCAAGATCAGCAGCACTGCAGCCATCATCCAGATCGCTTGCCAGTGCCGACACAGTTTGGGATACATGACTTGTAAGAAATGGACCAGTTGTTCAAGTTTGCTGTCAATGAAAAAAAAGAAGTGGAGGATTTTAGTATGCTTACATATATAATTACTGAGCTCATACTTCGCTTCCTAGCGTTGCCTCCTATGCTATCCAGAGCAGTGGTTCTTAAACTTCGCATTGCATGGAATCAGGCAGCAATTTGAAGTATTACAGGCTTTCAGAATGGTAATCTCCCCTGCAAGCAGGTGCAGGGGACTCGGGGTTCGATCCCCGGGCCCACCGTGCCAGCCCCGCCCCCAGGGTGCGCTGAGAAGGCAATTGAGTCTGTGGTGGCGCATACCTGTAACCCCAGCTCTTGGGAGGCTGAAAACAGATGGATCACTACTAGTCCTATCTAGTAATGAGATCCTGAACACCCTGTAGACCCTTCCCTAAAAAATAAAAAAAATGGCAATCTCCAAAATTATAGTCTAAGAATCTATGGTCAGGTTGCCTTGGTGATTTTGATGTCACCAGTCCATATCCTTGATAGGGGAGCAATGGGTCTAGAACACTACTTGCTTGATCATTCATCCACTCTCTCATTTCCTCTCCTTTGTCTCCTCATGACACGATTACAGATATTGAAATCCTCCCGAACCTAGGATGCTCCGTTGGCTGAGCTGCACTCTCTGGATCCAGACAAGACCATATCTTCTCTGCATTTAGCTGTGCTACTTCCAAGTTCTAACTTGTCTCTTGACTTGATACTAAGGTGTATAATACTTGTTCTCAGTCCTACCTCCAACTGTATCCGCAGGGAAAGAACTGTGCTCAACTCTCAGAAATAAACTGATTCCCAGTGACAAATGACAGAGGATCAGGTCAACCTCAAGGACGCCCTTCAAACCACCATAAGTGTAACCAGGAGACTATTGACTTTTGTGTGGGTCATTCAAGATGTTTTCTCAAGCTTATTAGATTCATCCTCTAATATCTCCCCTTCTGTTTCTTTGCTCTCTTCTTTTTCTTCCTTCCTTCCTTCCTTGCTTTCATCTCACCCTGCTTTTTACTTCTTTCCCTCCTCAATATTGCTACTGGTTGCTGGTGCTTCTTTCCAAACTGCCTTTTAACCTGTCTCCTCTCTCTTTGTGGCCTGGTGAGAAAACATTTGATCAGAGCCCCACATTGCTCTGAAGAAACACTGGCACCTTCATCAAGCTAGAATTTCCTTGTGTTTTGAATACCAGGTTCAAGAAAATATGAACAATGAGAATACTGAAGCCTACCAAATGCAAGAGTTGGGAAAAGTGTTGGAAGGTCTCCTTGAAGAGCCCCAGGCTCAAGTGCCCAATGCACCACATAGGCCAGATGCTGAGAGGTAGGGGGCACCCATGCAGAGCTAGTGGAACAGATGCCTTGCTGCGGACTGGAAACCCAACAAATAGCTTCCTTGGAAAGGATGCCCAGAGTGCTTGCTTCGGATGTGAAGGCTGCAGGAAGGGTGAATGATTTCTCAGCCATGGGGGAACTTAATCAGGTCATTTTAGCAATTGAGCAAATCAAAAAACTAAGAACATTAGCTGATGGGAAGAGCTTTGGCTATTTTTACAGCTGTTAGGGAGCGCTCAGAAATGCAAGCTTCTTTTCTTTCAGCCTCACTTAGAATCTTTAGATTCTATTTAATGTAATTGAACACCTCAGAGCTGCCCTTCTATACTCAAAGCAGAGTGCTCAGGCAAGGAGAATCCCTCTCTAAAGCTATTCTTAAGTGAGACTACAAAGGAGGAAGCCAAAAGTTGGCTGTGATCCTTACTTCATCACCTATTTCTAGCTAATAAGAGTGATTAGAAATAAAATTAGGTTAGAGACAGAATTCAATTTTTGGTTGTTGAGTGAACTCCTGTTTTTTGAGAGTTATTGGAAAGGTACAGGGTCCTCCTGCCTGAATAGCGTTTCATCCCTGTAGAGCAGGTTTGAACAGGTGGTGGGAGAAAAACACAAAGTTTTATGTCACATATACGAGTCCCACTCATTCAGTGGTTATGCGAGTTTCAGAAGACTTTGATCTATTTTAACATTGTTAAATGTTGAGTTGATTCACCCAAATTTCCTTTTAACTGACTGTTCCAAGGAGCAATATTTATAACAGAGTCACAACAGACTACAATATTTATAACAGATCATAAAGGAAAAAACTCAGAACAAAGATGCTTGATGTTGAATCTCTTAAGTAAGCGCCAGGTACTGGGCTTCAGCACATTGTTTGCAATACACACCAAGTAGGACACGGAACTTTTGATAACTGCAAACTTTGTTTATGAGTTAGCTGCCAAACTTCCACAAGGACTCATGTTTGAGTGAGATGCTTACTGGCAAGTCTGTGTCTAAGGGACTTCTCAAGGGGACAAAGACCACATGCCACTGAAGACGACAGTTTTCTGGCCCAGACTGGCTTGGGTAGCAGGTGAGGTCAGACATTATGACCGTCAGTGGGAAGTTTATATGACTGCAATGTCAACTGTTATAGAAATGACATCACACTGCTGGGCCCCAAAAGGTGAAGCTACCCCTTTCAGGAGGATGAAGACACTTCTCAGGGCTCTTCTCAAAACCAAAAATGAACGTGGAGGGAAGCAAAAACTGGGAGGCAGAATGAAGCCTCCCAAGATCAGCAGGATGAATATGACACTCTCAGGTGATAAATACTATAGTCAGCTATCCCCAAGCGCTGATGACCAGCTGGGGAGAAAGGACCCGGCCAAAGCCTTACTTCGAGGTTTTGTGAGAGGAAGGAGCTGCCAGTTGCCTTAGATCAAATTAGCAAGATAAGGCCTGTGATTTTGAAACCAGGCTGTTTATGTTTCATGTACTGTCTCTTTCTTTGTTTATTTATCTTTTGTTCTTTCTCTGTGTTTGGAAGTATTAGAAATTGCAACCTGTCATAGCTATATTCACAGTGCCAAGGAAAAAGCTTCTGTCCTTGGAATTGATGAGATGAAGGGCAGGGAGGGAGCATGGTGGCTTGAGAAACAACAGCAGAGAACCCTAAGTTGGAGGTGGAATGTGAGCACAAGATCCAGCTGCTTGGAGCAGGAATTGTGCTTCCATTGTTAAACTTGAGGGTCTTCCACTGAGGACGTAATGAACCCCAACAAGGCTTATTCTCAGTGGGGATGCATATTCCCCAGTTCTCCTTGACAGCTCTTCCCTTACACAGTAGAGTTGACCTAAGTGAGTCGAGACCCCTTCCTCTAGCTGAGTTTTCCACAAGTAGGCTCTGCGTACGGATGGCTTCTGCATGTTTTGAGCCATCTAGCCATCTTGCTTTCTGTTCTTCAGTTTTCTTTATTCATTGAATATGAGTGACATCCAGAGTCTGCCAGAAAGGGGCACAGACACATCCCCTTTTCCATGTTCAGCAGCTGATTTGATAATCATTTTGTAGTTAATCATTTTGCCTAGATCTGCCAAGCTCCCCAAGATAGCCTGGGCCCTAAAACCAGATTTTTAATGAAGTGTCCCAAGGTTTCTAGAACTACACTTTTAGAAACAAAAATTCAAAATCTGTGATTTGAATAGACAAATACAGGCAACAGAGAAGAATACATGACTTTAGTGATGTCCTGAGAACCGAGGGTGTTGGCGTGGTGTCTGTAGGGCAGAGTATAGCTCTTCTTAGGGAACCAGTGCATTCTGTCCCTAAGCACACATTTCGGTGTATGGGTAACCCCAGCCTAGTGGGACCGAGACCTTATTACATGGAACATTCTGGAACTAGCTGAGGGTTATTTTCTACTATGTATGCTAAAGGCTAGGAGGGACTACAAATGGGACACCACGTGGGGTATGTACCGTCTGCGCCTACATGTTATATTTCCTCCCCCGATTTAGAGGAAAATATACTTGAAATAGTGTTTTTTAAAGAAGAACAAATATTTTCAACCTGAAGTGAAGCTCAGATGTCCAAGCTTATTTGATCAGTGTGGGAGGGGCCTGTTGGAGGCCTCACGTTTGTCACAGAGCTTAGTTTGTTCCAACCTCTCATGTTTCCTGTGCCCCGAGCTTGCTTTTGTAAGTAACACTCCCCGAGGCTCAAGGCCAATGACGGTGGTCTTGGCTATTTCATGAGGTGTGGGGAGATGAGCTGAGCGGGGCTGGGCTGGGAGGGGCCCACTGTCCTTCACTCTTTCTCAGCTCCTTAGAGTTCTTGAGTGCCATCTGCCCAGCCTGTGACCACATCTCACCCTCAACTCTTACGAGCGTCCCATTTTGACTCTCTTGGTTCTTGATTTCCTGCACCTCCCTCCCAACATTAGGGTCCCCTGGATGTCTCTTGGCCATTTATTTGGGCCTCAGACTCTCTGCTTTCCTGGGCCTGCATTTCCAGACATTTTGTGCAGTTTAATAATTGAATAAATGTTAACTCATTTCTGCAATGTAAAGGGCTCCCAGTGCAGAGTTCCCACCTGCTTCTCTGGTCCTTTTCCTCTTCCTCAGTTTCTTCTACCTCTTCAGGTTCCTCAGGACTTTCACTCTTCTGTTCTTCTTCCTCCTCCTTCAGATCTTGAAGTTCTTTGGTCTTTTTTAAACCTTCCTGATATCTGGGAGGAGGGGGGCAAAAAAGGGAACAAATGTATCTGAAAAGGACAGCTGTGGAGCATCTACTCCTGAATTCCTAGAGGAGGGGACTTGAGCCCCTCCAATAGTGATACACTTCCTGTGCTTCCACACAACAGGAAAAAGCTGGGATGCTCCACTGAACCCCTGCACGGCCCATGTCAGTACAGTTTCCCTTCACTCCTCAGTCATCCTTCCTGTTTATGTGACAGTGTGACACACTGACAGGGGATGAATATGGGACAGGGTCTCCTGAGTTGCTTCTTATTCTACAAAGCATTCTGTAGAGATAAGATTGCATTTAACTTCTGCATAACCTTGGAGCTTTTGTTTTGCTTTTGTAAAACAGAGAGGGTGACTGTTCTCTCTCAGGGAATTGGAATGTTTCTTGGAAATGCCAGAGCTCAACCTAGAAAGGTACTCAGCAGATGTTCACAAGGCTGGGGGAGGAGTCTAACCTTTGTGAATTCTGGGTAGACACCACTGTGGGTAAAAAAAAAAAATAGGCTTTCCAAGAGAAATCCTTCTGATTTCCTTTCTGGATTAGTCTTACTCTAAGCATGCTGTGTGTACTCGTCCTACAGCTGGCTGTTTAACTCCAGCACTTTGGCTGGACCAACCCCATCCCTGAGTTCGAGTGTCACACAGTAGCCCCCCAGGTTCCAGCTGTCAGGAAGCTGCATCTTTCTCAGGAGCCATGGAGATGCCACAAAAGGTGGGAGGTGATTCTCTCCCTTGAGACCTGTGGCCAGGCACCTGTTTAGTGCAGTCTCTCTGGCAACTGACAGCTGGCCCTTAGGTGCTACTGAAGTTCAATTAGACAATGGACTCTGGGTTATAGGAGGAAGGGATGCCCAGGGCAGTTCTAGGAAGCGGAGTTGCAGCTGCCTGTGGGCGCTGTTGGCAGCAATGTGACCATATTGCATACGTGTCAGGAAGCCTCAGGCACCGCCAAGAGGAACCTACCCCGGGCCCCTGATTTCCAGACTGTTCTGGGTAGTGATGTTCTTGTGGCTTTGAGCCTAAAAGAGAGCAGTCTAATTATTGTCTAACCACACCCTCTAATCCTGCTTCCGTCTGTCCTTCCTGTGGAATAGTCTTGCTTCTTTCCTCTGTAGTTCTTTCCTGACACAAGGAGGCCCCGGGGCTAGTGGCTGTCGCCCTAAAGTCTTTAAGAAACAGGACAGGGCGTGGGAAGGTATTTTCTGAGACCTGCCAGGTGCCCTCGGGTGGCCGAGCTCTGACTCACCCCTTGTTGTAGGCTTCTTCCTCCATCCTGCCTTTGGTCTCTTGGCTGACCTTCTCCATGCAGCCTGGAGGCCGCACAAGAGCAGGGGCTTCACATTCTGGCTCCCCATTTGTCTTTCCACTAGGGATAAGAGGGAGGCAACAGACAACATTTCAGAGAGAAGCTGAGTGGTCGCAAACAAAACTGTCTTTTGCCTGATTCCTGATTAGAAGTGAGGAGATTCACATTCTCTCAGTATCTTCTGGACTTTTAAAAAACCTTTTCAGCCTGAGACAAGATGGCAGGAAGCCCTTTTTCATGAATCTTGCCTAGAGCACACTACTGCACTGGACCCCTTCTCCTTGTGTCCCCAAATCTATTTTTATTTTGATTCAGGAGCTGCTGTGAGTGGACAAATATTAGGAGCTGCGAGAAGGAAAATGAGGACAGCCCAAAACATTTTGGGTCTTCCCTTTGCTGCTCTATCTTAGGCCTCAGTGCCCACTCATTCTGTCAAATAGCTCTTGAATTCAGCCAAATCACAGACATGTCACGATGTAGGGGGGACACGTCAGGAATAAGAAAAAAATTTGCCAATGTGGATCTTAGCAGAAGTGAATGACTCCCCCCCATGAGAGGAGAAGAAAAACATGCAATTCATTACAGAGTATAATATTTAAGAAAGAACTATTCAGTGATAGCAAATAATGAGAAAATGTGTTTAGGGTGAATGGTTAAGAAGGCCTCTCTGAGGTGCTGACATTAAGGCACAGACTTGAAAGGTGATGGGTCAGCTGAATCCAGATTGCACAAAGATCACCCCGGCTAGAGGATGCACAACACATTAAAATTCAAGACAAAAAAAGTGCTGAGATGTCTGAGAAGCTGAAAAAAGAGTCAGTGGAGCTGTGATTAACTTTTGGATGTTCATATGTGGTGTCCAAGAGGAGATGTCACATGAAAAGTTGGATGCGGGAAAGTGAGGGGGAGAAGGGCTCTGGCTGGAGATACGCATGACTGATTGTCCAGGGGACAGCCTGAAGAAAGAGCAGGGGACCCGGGGCCAACCCTTGGTATCTCTACACCTTGCTCTGGTGGATAAGGAGGAGCCCACAAAGCAGGCTGAGAAGTAACAGCCAGAGAAGTAGGAGGAATCCAGGAGAGCACGGAATGTTGGGAGCTAGGAGAGAAGAGTGTCAGGGAGGGAGAAGTCCCACGTCTCACTGTCTCCTCTGAGAATCTTAGTCAGATGGGCACAAAGCGCCTATTAAATTTGAAAATGCAGAGGTCAAGAGGAACCTTGAGGTAATGGTGGGAGCCAAGGCAGGCGGAAGTGGCTTCATAAAGGGTGGAAGGTTAGAAAGAAGGTTGAGGCCTGGGTGCAGTTCTTTCACTCAAGGAGGGGGACGCACTTGGCTGAGGAAGTGGACTAGGGACACAACCAGATTTGAACCCAGATGTGATCCAGAAAGTGGGTGAGAGAGAAAAGATAACCAAAGAGCAAAGTCTTTGGCTAAAGGAACAAAGACCTTAGGAAGGTGGTGAAAGCTCTCCATGGTTCTAACCAAGGCAAGAAGAAGAAGACCACAATAATGGGGTGGGCAGAGGGCTCCTATCTAATGGCCAGTTTAAATTTTCTCTATGAAGTGGAAGACAAGGTCATCTGTTGAGAGTGAACCAACCAGGGGTCTAAGAAGGTTTCAGGAGAGAGTTGAAAATAGGACAGTCACACGGGAAAGTAGGAAAGTAAACACACTAGAAAGTTACAGTGGAGGGTCGGGGAGATGGCTCAGTAAAGTAAGCACTTCCCTGGCAAGCACAAGGGTCTGAGTTCAATCCCCAATTCCACCAAAAAAAAGAAAGAAAGAAAGAGAAAGAAAGAAAGAAAGAAAGAAAGAAAGAAAGAAAGAAAGAAAGAAAGAAAGAAGAAAAGAAAGTTACAGTGGAATGGCTGGGCAGTCCTGGGAATCCAGTTAGGGTGTAGATGGCACCACACGGGTTCAGGAAATGACTTGATGGCCACACCTTCCCTCCATCCTGCAGTCCACTTGAGGTGACCAGAGTCCCAGTGGGAGTAGAGTTACCTCAGAGGAGCCCTCAAGTGAGGCCAAGCTTTGAGCAGACCTGGCCGCCTGGGACTCTGAGGCCCCGCATGTGCCCTCCCTCCTGGTCTCCCAGGCAGGGTCTGTGATCAAAGCCTCCATGTGCTCCGTTCTCTTGGCATCATTGTCCCATCTCTTCATTTTCCCTCAGATCTTGAAAATCTACATTTCATCAGGCTGGAAACTCAAACCCATTGTGAGCAAGAAAGGTAACCCTCTGAAAATACCAGCTATTTATAACATTGCTCCTCTTGCAAATGACATTATCCACTCCCTCCCGTGTGGCCTTTGCCTAATGCAAAGTTTCCTATTTGTGCAAATGATTTGGGCTGGAGAAGAAAAACACAGCCCTGGCCAACGGCAAGGACAGCAATTCTTCTATGAAATTTATTTCTGTAGTAGAAATGAAATAGTGGCATCATGCTTTTAATTTCTTTTCTTTATAGCTATCGGCTTTGGAAACTCCTTAATGTCAAACAAGTATGAAGGAAGACATAACGTTAAAGAGGAAAAGAATTTGCCTGAGGCAAACCTGGGCTCCGATCTGGTTCCCCCCACACACACACACACACATGACCTAACTTTCCTAAACTTCTCATTCCTCAGCTGCAAAATGAGGATATTATATGCTGAGTGGGAATAGAGTTAATAAAGAAATACAAGAAAACTTACTAGAATATCTTTTATTATTATTTTTATTGTTATGTAATAAATGTATTGGTAAATGTTGGGAATAATCTGAGGGTCCTGTAAACCTGCCTATAAAAAAAAAATTCTAAACTGATAAATTGCCAAGCAACTGTTTATATCTTTATTTTTATTTTTTTTATTTTTGGTAGAACTGGGGATTGAACTCAGGCCCTTGCGCTTGCCAGGGAAGCGCTTATTCCACTGAGCCATCTCCCCCGGCCAACTGTTTATATCTTAAAAGGAGAACTTGACATAAATTATTTTGACAATTCAGAGTCAGAAAAGCTCTGAAAGTGAACTAATTTAAAATGTGGCTACATTTACATGAAATTTACATAAAATTGCTTTAATGAATTTCTCAGGTGTACATCCCTTGCTTGTGGTAACACTCACACACTTTGGAGTTTTGGTGACTGAAGGACCATCACTGGAAGTGCTGGGATTTCCTGCTGAAGTCTTTCTGAAGCCCTGAACTGCCAACCCAGCCCACGGCTCCTGCTGAGTAAGTCCTTCCCACCTGCAGGCTGGACCACATGGTGTGTGGGCTAGTTGGGAGGGCCTTGGGTCAATACACCACAGGGGCACAGGGCCGGTGGTGGGGAGGAACACTGTGTACACGATTTTCTGTCTTCTAGCCTGAGCTAGTTCCCTAAGTATCTTTTCCAACTACCTCTAAGTTTTCTGAAGCTTCAACACTCAACTGAAACCCTTCTCTTCTGTGAAAGCGTTAGGAGTGTGACCTTCTCTCCCCCACACTTCTGGGTAAAGTTGCTCCCCTTTCTCTACCCTCGCACCATGGCTCCTTCACAGCGTGACTCAGAAAGAAGGCATCTTTTATACACCTGCCCACCCCAGTTTCATGACTTCAGTGATGGCAGGGGCAGGAACCGTGCTTCAATCAGAAGGCTGCTTGGCACACACTACACGTCTTTCAATGTTTGTTGAGTGGCCCCAACTTCACTAGGACTCACCCAGTCTTCCTATGGAATATTATGAAATGGGCAGGGCCTCTCTGTACTTCCTGAGAACCCAGTGTTTATGCAAGGCTCAAAGAATTTGTTTTCATGCTTGCAAACGAGGGCTAAGCACAACCCGAGCCCACCCCAGAGATTTCTGAGCCAAGAATTCACTGATCTTGGCATCTGGCCCCAGCCTGAAATCTTATGTGCCTTTTTCTCTGGGATGATTGATTAAAATGAAGCTCATTGTTCTTGCATATTCACCAGTCCAAGTGTTTATCACTGTACTCAGATCCTAGTAAGCAGAGGGGCTGTTTAGGAAAAATGCATTGTTGAACAGGCAGGTGTATTGGATTTACTGTTTTCCACACAGTAAACAGTATTTGAAAGTAACCACAAGCCCTGCCGATGACAGATCTTACCTCCTGGGCCCAGCAGTGTTTCTAAGTCATGCCCCCTGCTATGGCTTCCCTGACAAGCCCAGTCCAGCAACCCTGAGCTAGAAGATCTTCCACTTCCTGTTAGTCCCAGATTGCTGGGTTCACATAAATTTTAATGGGGGATAATTCACCCTAGAGACTATTCAGTAGATGTTGCTTACTGTACAAATTTAATGTCATATAATGTCTTTAAGCAGTTTATCCTTGTTGTTTTAAAAGTATAGAACATGGTGGGTTTAGAGGTCAGAGTTAAACTGTACTGTGATGCATCAGCCTAATGAGCCTTTTTATGGGCTGGCCAGATAGCTCAGTGGACTAAAGCACTTGCTTAGGCAAAGCACAGCAGCTGGGGTTCGATCCCTGGCGTGCCGTGCTGGACCTGCCCCTGGGGTGCACTGAGATGGTGATTGAGACTAGGCGTGGTGGTGCGCACCTGTAATCCAGGCGCTTTGGGAGGCTGAAAACAGGAGGATCACTATGTGTCTGATCTGTTCAGTGAGACCCTGTACACCCTGTAGAACCTGTTCTAAATTCAAAAAATAAAAAAATAAAAAATTTAAAAAACAGACCTTTTTTTTAAAAAAAAAAAAAAACAGACCTTTTTATGGAGCTAACCTGCTGCATACCCACACCCCAGCATTGCTGATTCCTCAGCTAGGGGCTCTGCATGCACCTTTCTTCCAGCCCACTCTACTTCCTCTGCACATTCATGCAGAGAGAGTGCTTCAATCTGCCCTCTTCTTGTCCATCACCCTGAGCTTCTCTTGTTCTTCTGTTAAGAAGTTAAGGGCAGACGCTGTGCTATCTACTAGCTGTGCAAGCCAGGGAAGTGACCATTTCGCGGGGCAAGTTTCTCTGTCTGTTAAGTAGGGATATTAGTAGTATACTTCACCTCCTGGGATTGTTTTTTATTTTTTATTTTATTCTTCTTGATATAGGGTCTCACTATGAAGATCGGACTCATAGTAATCCTCCTGTCTCAGCCTCCCCAGTGTTGGGATTCCAGTTTCAGGGCTGGCATGGCATGTAGTAATGGGGATCAAACTAAGGATCTGGGGCTTTCCAGGCAGGCGCTTAGACTGCCAAGCTATCCCCGCAGTCCCTTATGGGATTATTGTAAAGATCAAATGAGGTTCTTAATGTAAAAGTACTTGGCAAATTGAACATGCAATAAATAATAATTATCACCAACACCACCATTTTCATAATTATCCTAATCACTCTTCGAAAACTCCTTTCCTTCTTGCCTTGGAGCCGGGAATGCTGTTAACCTCATGGTCACCCATTTAATTATATAACCTTTAGATTTCACTTACAAAGTAAGTTCTGAGAACCTGCCCTTCCTTGAGTCTATACTCTAGTTGGGCTACATGCTTACTTTCTTGTGTTGCTCTTTAACAGCTCGTACTTCCTTACAATAACACACATCCCACTGTCAAATAACAGGCTGTTTCCTGTCTGTCTCTCCCACTAGATTGAAGCTCCTTGAGTGCATTCTATTCCCCACTCTTGGTAATTAATTGTCGATAGAATGAGGAGTGAAAGATTACAGGCATAGAGCTCTTCCTGTGTGTGTGGAATTGCTCCTAACTTTGATCTGTTAGAGTCTATAACTTCAAGCTTTACTCCCTGTGTGGATGATTGGTTAAGGCTGCAGGTCCCCAGGCCCCTGGTGAGTGAAGAGCAGGTTACTTATTATGCAACAACCTACAAGAGCAAGGCTCAGAATTCTCTGCAATCACAGAAACAATGAGCAGAGCCATCATTTACTTGTGATCCAGCCAAAGGCTATTTGGTCCTCCTATCTCACACTTAGCCTGTTCTCTTCTTGCTTAGTTACTGAATCCCTGGGAAATGGAGGAACACTTTAACACAAAGTGGAATATGACAAACCAGACAGTGATATCTATTAAATTATAACACATAGATTATCTTTAAGAGTATAAATAGGGGAGCCGGCCAGATAGTTCAGCAGACTCAAGCGCCTGCTTAGGCAGAGTGCAGTGGTCAGGGTTCGAAACCTGGTGTGCTGTGCTGGCCCCGTCCCTGGGGCACACTGAGATGGCAATTGAGACTGGGTGTGGTGGTACACGCCTGTAATCCCAGTGCTTGGGAGGCTGAATACAGGAGGATCATACAAGTCTGATCTGTATAGTGAGATCCT